ACTCCCTTTTCTCCTTCTCAGCCAAGCCTGAGCCGAGAAGGAAGAAGCGCTCTTCCTTCCCTTGCTGGACTAGAATTTTCTTCAAGGCTTCCTCGCTTTTGTCGGCCGGCTCTTTGCCGACGTCATCCAGGACCTCCATGTCCTTGTCCTCGATCTCAACTGTTTCTACTTCTTGCACGTTGCAAGTGGATTTCATTGCTACCATGGACCAATTCTTTGCCTGCACCTGATCTCCTCTGATCTCTTCAATTCTGTGCTCTATTGGGAACCGTAATAGCTGGTGCAGTGTTGAAGGAATAACCCTTACTGCGTGCAACCATGGCCTTCCCAAGATAACATTGTAAGGGGAGGGGGTGTCAATTACTGTGAACTTTGTGCTTACCTTCTTGGTGCTTGCCTGCACCTCCAGATTTATTGCTCCCAGGAGCCATGTCAGCATTCCATTGAACCCGACCATCGAGCTGTTGAATTACTCCAAATCATCTTGGTGAAGGTCGAGCTCCTTGTAACATCTGACATACATGATGTCACAAGAGCTGCCTTGGTCAATTAGAATGCGCCTTACCTGGCATTCTCCAATCTTGAGGTTCACTACCAGAGCATCGTTATGTGGATGCTGCACCATGTCTAGGTCTGCTTCAGTAAAGAGTACCATTGGTCACTGGCATTCGTCTGTCCTAGGCCTCTTTTGCTAGACCTGATATACATGTTGTAGGTGTTTTACCTTCTAATTCTCCCCACGTACCGCATTCTCATTAACCCTCAAGTGAATCACATTGATCACTCGAGGTCCGTCTGCTTGAGGTTGCGGCACTGGTGGAGGTGGTGCTGCCGGTGCCTGGGGCAGCCTTGCCTACTCTTCCCTCATTCTGGCTTCATCTACTTAGTCCCTTAGGTGACCTTGTCTAACCAGGTCTTTCAGATGTGTCTTCAGGGCTTTACACTCCTGAGTTAGATGTCCATCCTCATTGTGGTAGACACAGTGCTTCCCAAGGCTTCTTCTCATAAATTCGTCAGGAATTTTCTCTAATGCTCGATAGTATGGCTGGTTCTTGATCTTTTCCAGGACTTTGTAAACCGGGATCCAGAACACTGTGGTGACTGCCTATGCAGCCCTCAGTCTTGTTTCTTGTCTATTAAAATATGTATTACCTCGGCCTCACTTCGGCGAGCCGTTCCTCTTCTCTGCTTTGACGCCTTTGTTCCTGGCATGTCTTCTTCAACTCTCGCATATTTCTTGATCCTGGCCATGAGTTCCTCCATACTTTTTGGCAGCGTCTTTACCAGTGACTTTCAAAGCATGCAGTCATCGTTCAGGTCGCCAACTTTTGGTTGCACCCTGGTATTCGGTTAAATACCTCATAATACCTTTTGGCATAAGCCCTGAGACTCTCATTCTCGCCAATTCTCAGAGCCATCAGGGAGTCTACCCTCAACGACTACAATTTGTTTGTAACAAACCTGGCCACAAACATCTTGGCCAGGCCTTCCTAACTTTTCACAGTTCCTTTCGGCAACTTGTAAAACCAATCTGATGCGATTTTCTCAAATGATGAGGGGAACACCTTGCAAAGCAACAGTTCATTCCCGATATACAGTGCTATTGAGTTCAAATATAAGCTGATGTAAAAGTTATGATCGGACTTACCGTCGTATATCTAGAATCTCGGCATCTGGAACCTTTTCGAGGCCTCAAACTTATCCAATTCTACTAAGAACAGCGTTCTTGGCTTGACCGGAGATATGACATCGGCATCTTGTCGCTTCCTCTAGAGGTAGTCACTCAAATCCTCCTTAGTCTGTCTAGGAGCTTGGTTGTCAATGGAGTTTAACCTTTTTGGTGCGTTGCTCCCGGTGTCGTTATGAGTCCTCTTGGACCTCCCTTCATTCATTGTGTCAAAACAAAGCTTCTTCCTTTGAACATTTCCTTGACATAAGTTTCCTTGGCACGAAGTGTCTTCTAAGACTCTCCTCTCATCGATTCTCCTCGCCCGACCTCCCGTGAAGGCTGATGAGAATGCTCATTTGCCCTGTCATACTAAGGGAGGAACTATAGGGATTGTTTTCTGCCTCCTTTCTGGGCATCGTTCTTGGCCGCTAGAATCGGCGTGTCCTCCAATGGAAACGGTGGCTGCATAACGTTGTTCTGCATCATAAAGTTGACAACCGATTGTAGGTCTACCAATTTGTTTGCCATTCCCTTCATCTCGTCGTCCCTCCTCAGGCATCTATCTTTCCATACTTAGAGATCGCTTTCGTTGTAATACCCACCCTGACATGCTTTCTTCGATACGTCTCCCTCTTAGCCGACGTCTTTTTCTTCGAGATTCTTATCCTGAGGTTCTTCGTTACAGTTGTCCTCCTCTACGTTAGGATTAGGGGTGTGCGTGGTGCAGTTTGAGCGATTTAAGAGTAAAATTACAAACTAAATGGCGAGTTAGCGAATTAACGGATTGACAAATTGCAATTTGGGCAGTTTTTGACAAATTGGCAATTTGAAGAATATTCTACATAATTATCATACATTTACATAGTATATAATACTAATTTGTATAATATTTTTTAGATATATAATACAAAGTAATTTTACATAATATGTTTTATATATATAACCACTAATTTGTAATAAATTTCATATCATAAATCTCTCTTACACTCATTTTTACATTGATATTTCATTAGAAGTTAAAAAATATATATGTATTAACTATAGCAAAGCGAAGCGGTTTGGTTGGCGGATTATAAATTTTAAATTTTAAGCCCACGGTTAGCGGTTAGAATGGCATGGATTGATGCAAATAGATGCAATTTTAGCGGATTAGGCAGTATTTTGCACAGCCCTAGCCATAACACATAAATATTTAAGGGTAAATTACAAATACACCCTCTGAGGTTTGATTAAAATACAAATCACCCTTAAGATTTTTAATTTCATTACAAATCACCCCCTTTATTAATAAATCATCAAGTCAATTAACAATTTTTAATGATGTTAGAAATATGTTTCAATTAATAATTTAAGTAATTTTATTATGGCATAGGAGAGCAATTATAAATTTTATTTTTTTAGTTAATTCTGTTAAATAAAAAATTCTAACAAAGGGGTATTTATAATTTTCCAAACCATAGAGACAATCTGTACTTTAAGCAAATCTCAGGGAGTGTATTTGTAATTTACCCAATATTTAAAAGGGAAATATTTATGAAGTAGAAGTTAATCTAGATTTAGTAGAATTGGAATTTGTTACCATTGTTTTTTATGCTTTGCTTGCTTACCTATTTATATTTATTCTGGCTCAAATCTCATCTATTGGATCTTGTTTTAATTGAAGGGTTCTGCCCATACTTGGCTTTGGTCGGCCAACTTGCCGAGTTGCCCTTGTCCTTCATCATTGGATCTCTGTCGCATAAACAGCATGGATGATGTCAAACGTTAGTGGTTAGCTTGCCGAGTCCGTAGGATCAATTTGATCAGACGGCTCCGCTTCCTGCTAGGCCCAGCCTATGCCTTAGTCTTGTCTATTATACGCTTGTCACTGTTGGATGATACCTAATCCGACGTCTCTCTTTTATTTTACAAATTTGCCTTCTAGAAGGTTATATTTTATATTTGTTTGTCTCCCCACCCGCCTTGATTGGATGCCAAGTTGTTGCCAGTTGTCTTTTGTCAGCTTCAAGGGACAAGTTTGGACTTTCCACTTTCTATTTTGGGCTAGCGTGATTGGATTTGGGCTTGGGTTCATGTTTTTTTCCCTCCACAATTTTAAAAACATTTATCGATCTAGTTTGACATCACTTATAAGTTATTTTTTATGATTATAACTTTTAGGTTATTAGCTTAAAAGATTTAAAATATGTTATGAATATGTTTGATGCAATTTTTTTATAATCTGTAAGAAAATTTAAACATGTTTAGTTAAATAAGTTGTCACATAGCTTTTTTGTTGTACAAATTTTCCAAGATGTCCTAAAAATTATAATTAAGGCAATAGAGATGAAGAACCTTTGTCTATATATATATATATAAAGGTTTCAAATAAGCTAAAAAGTTATAAATTATAGCTTTAAAAAATCTAATAATTTGAAATTACAATCAAACACCATTAGTCAATTTTTTAATTAAATAAAATAACTTATAAATACTGCTAAACGAAATCATTAATTTTTATAGTATTTTTCAAATAATAAACTAGGGCTGGGCCGGGTCCGGGTCTGAAACACCTATCCCCGTCCCCGGCCTGGATATCATCGGGGATGAAATTTTGAATACCGTCCCCGGCCCATAGGGGATATTTTTCGGTGAATAACCATTAAATTCGGGGACAGGGGGTCGGGTCACCGTCGGGCCGGTTTCAGATTGCCATCTCTACCCCCCTCCGCATTACCATTTCCTCTCTCTCTCTCTCTAATATTCTTCCTTCTCTCACTGGACTCTCCTCTGGGTTTTGGTTGTTTGGTCGTTGGTTTCCGTGGTATGTTGTGGATGCGATGGTGAATATGGCAATTGCGGTGGCGGAGATGAGTGGAGGCTGGCTCGTGAGGGTGGGATTTGACACCAGCAAATACGATTACAACCTGTTTGTGAAAATGTTTAGCTGAGAGAAATTAAGATTATGGCAATGGTTGGTTAGCAGGTATCACTTGTTCAAATGAAATTGGACTTCTAGGCTTTCAAATCTATTTTGTTTTCAGATTATGCCCATATATTATTTGCTTTTCTTGTAAATTCTTGCTATACCCACCTTTCCATATTCAACTTGCATGAATAATTTTAAAAAAAAATATTATTCTTTTCAGGAGCTAAAGTTATTTTCACTTGTATATATAATAGAAATAAAAAAAATAAAAAAGGTTGGGTTGTGAATATATGCCAGCATCTCACATGAAATTATTAAGCTACAGATGCCATAACTGTATTCCTATTATCTGAATGACAGAATAATTTAAGAATCAATATTTAAATTGCCTCTATTTCCTTGTTGTTGAATTCTTTATTCATTTTTTTGTGGTGTTAAAGTGCTGTTTGGGTTTGTTTTTGTCAAATGTCAAATTTTATCTTGATGAAAAGGACAAAAGTTTCTTAGATTAATAGTTTACCTTGAAAACATACATATATTTTTTTTCTAAATGTTTTGGCATTGTTTTTGTCAAATGTCATTGTTTCTTTTTCTAATTTTTATCTTCCACTTGTTTTTATACACGGATTATAGTTTCTAGGGTTGCATTAGAAACAGCATGAATTACAAAACAGAATTCACCTTGTTGTTATCACCCCACCTCTATAAATGAACACAACATTCTTAACATTAATTTCCACGAAAGAACTCAACAAAAGACCTCAGGTTAGGATATGATTGCTCTTTAGAAGGCACCAACCGTACTTCCTGGTTTTTGGATATTCAGGTCACCAGCCATGGAAGGAGGATCACAACAAAAGATTGGTCATTCATATCTATCTATAGATGATTGCTTTTATTTTGATCCGCCAAATCCAACCGTCCCCAAGTTTCAATGGACTCAAGACTTTCATTACCGGTTTGTCGAGTGTGTAAACCTCCTTGGTGGAGCAGACAGTAAGTAATTTGAGATGAGCCTTTTGCAGGAAACAAAAATTGAAAACCATTATTAATTTATTGACCCTTTGTTGATCAAATTTTAGAGGCAACACCAAAATCAATATTGAAGCTAATGGACACAGAGGGGTTGAAAATCTATGATGTCAAAAGTCATTTGCAGGTACTAACAACATTTCAAGAACTTTGTTGTTTCAGCCCTTTGGTATTTTCTTGTTAGTGATCCTTTTTTTCTTTTCCATTTGCTTTGTAGCAATATCGAATTGCAAAGTACATGAAAGAATCTGAAGAAGGTAAATTTAGATTTTTCACATATAAATCATATAGTTTGCACATTTTCCCATGTGTCATGTCTTTTATTTCTTGAAAAATATCGTGTCAGTGTTGTGTCTTGTGTCCCTATCTGTACCTCTCAACCAATCTATTTGATGCCATATTGAGTCACCACTAGTCCCAAAGCTTAAGTTGTTAGTAAGTAGAGAAGAAAGAATGCAAACAAAATGCAAACTAAGACGAAATGGAAACAAAAAGACTTGAATCCAATCATACCTCCCCTAATTGTGCCAAGTTGAAGTAGGAAATAGGCCTAACAATATATCAATTTATCCGACTATCCTGAATTGTATGTTTTTTCAACTCATTGATTGAATCTAAGATATTAAATGACATTATACTTAGGTGATAGTTGGTCGTCTATCAAATAAGAACCACTAGGGTGTGTTTGGATCATAGATTTAGGTAGTGATTTACAAAGGGAAAGAAAAATGTGAGAGAAATATGAAAGAAATGTTAGTCAAATTTTCTCTTCATGCCCTTCACCTTTTCTTTTTCTTTTCCAAATTCCAAATTCCAAAAAAACAAAAAGATGCTAACAAGGAAGTTATAAGCTGCACTTTTTCTTCCCAAATGAAAAAATTAATTTGAAGATTCTGCACCTTAGAATTTGTTGAATACCAATTGGAGGGTAGATGGTGATTGATGAATTATTAATTAAAGAAGTCCTAACTAGAATTTCATTCAAGCATTTACAGAGCCCTTAATATCCCCTTGGAAACTTCATCATTGTGGAATAGTTATGACTGTGTAGGATTGTATGACATTATGATTGATCAAATGATGAACAAAGTCCTCCATTTTTCTAATAAATATTCTAATCTTAGTTTTTCTTTCTCTGCCTATTACAGGAAGATCTGAGAAAATGACTTGTGTCTTTGAAGAAGCACATACGTAAAACTTCACAAAAGGACTTTATTATAATACAAACTCACAATCCATATATCTCGTTAATTTCTCACTTTCTTGATTGATAAACACTATCCTCCTACATAAGAAAATTTGTTTAAAGCCTACTTTTGACTCGTTTGGTTGTGGCATGCAAATCAGGGATGCTCTACGAATGCAACTAGATGTGCAGAGGCAAATTCATGAGCAGTTAGAGGTATGGTTTTAGTTCTTCAGTGAGATACCTTTAGCTACTTCCTAAATAGTATATGATTGACAGGTTGATTTTTAAAAAATACAAGACATGACACGTTTGGGATTAAAATTTTCTATTTTATATATTTATTATATGTCGTATTTATGAATAGTATATTCAAAGATCATGAAAAATAACCATACCAAACCAAACCAAACCAAACCAAGCCTTAAGTCCTATCAAATGGGGTCGACTGTATGAAACTTTCTTCTTCACTCAACTCTGTCCAAGTAGTCAAATTAAGGAGATTCATATCACTATTTACTACACTAGTCCACGTCAATATAGGTCTACCCCTTCCCCTAACACTACCATCTACTGTAACTGTATCACATCTTTTCACTACCGCTTCTGTTGGTCTCTGTTATATATTACCAAACCTTCTCAATTTATTTTCTCTCAACTTATCTTCTATCGATACTGCTCCTGTCCATTCTCGAATATACTCATTCCTACCTTTGTCTTTTCTAGTCTTGCCACACATCCACCTTAGCATTTTCATCTCAGCAACACTCATTTTCTCTACATGTTGTTTCTTAGTTGCCCAACATTCCATCCAACAAAACATCATTGGTCTAATAATCGTTCTATAGAACTTTCTTTTTAGTTTAATGGGTACTCGTTTATCGCACAGTACTCCGGACGTAGTCCTTCACTTAAGCCACACCGGCTTAATTCTGTGAACCACATCTATTTCAATCTCCCCAGTCATTGTGATAATCGATCATAAATATCGAAAATGTTCACTCTTAGGTAGTTCTTGGTTCTCAATCTTCACTTCTTCTCTACTTCCATTGTGACTGTTACTAAAATTACACTCCATATACTTTATCTTAGTTCTACTTATCCTAAATCCTTTAGATTCAAGTGATTTTCTTTAAATTTTCAACTTAGTGTTAACTCATTCTCCAGTCTCATCCACTAACATGATATCATCTGCAAGAAACATATACCATGGCATATCACCTGAATATTGCGAGTCAACTCATCCATAACTAAAGCAAAAAGATAAGGACTTAAGGTTAATCCTTGATACCCTATAGAAATTGGAAATTCACTCGTCTCTCCAGCAGGCAATCTAATAGTGGTCACCACACCTTCATACATATCCCTAATCACATCAATGTAATATTTTGTCACCTATTTCTTCTCTAACACCCACCAGATTATATCCCGAGGTACTCTATCATATGCTTTCTTAAGATTGATAAAATCATATAAATGTCTCTTTTATTTTTTCTATATTTTTTTATTACTCTCCTCAAAAGATAGATCGTTTCCATTGTTGACCTACCAGGCATAAAACCAAATTGATTCTCTGGTATCTCTGTTATATCTCACAATCGACGTTCCATCACTCTCTCCCACACTTTCGTTGTGGGACACATTAACTTGATTCCACTGTAGTTGTTACATTCTGAACATCTCCTTTGTTCTTATATATTGGCACTAAAATACTCTTCCTCCACTACTCTGGAATTTTCCTAATCAACAAAATCTTGCTAAATAACCTAGTCAACCAAACAACCCCCTTTTTACCCAAATATTTCCATGCTTCAATAGGTATATCATCGGGTCCTAAAATCTTATTCAATTTCATCTTCTTAAGTGTAAATTTCACTTCAAAGTTCCTAATCCTATGATAGAATCTATAGTCCTGGTTTTCGTTATTACTACCTACTTCCTCCCCTTTTGACCTACTTCCATGTTCCTCATTTAACAACTTCTCAAAATTATTCTTCCACCTCTCCTTAATCTCTTCATCCTTCACTAACACCCAAGAGTCCTCATCCTTAATGTATTTAACCTTATTAAAATCTCTTGTTTTCCTTTCTATTATCTTAACAAGTTTGTATATCCTCTTTTCTCCCTCCTTACTATCTAGTCTAATGTATAGATCATCATAGGCCTTCAACTTAGTCTCCCTCACTACTTTTTTGACCTACTTATTGGCCGATCTGTAGCGCTTAAGGTTTTCTTCAGTTCTATCATTCTGTCACATTTTAAAACTCTCTTTTTTCGTCTTTATTACTGCTTGGACCTCCTGCCTCCACCACCAAGTTTCTCTAAAGTCAAGTCCCTTTCCTTTCAACTCTCCTAGAACTTTCTTTGAGCATCTCCTCATTCAATTGGCCATCGAGTTGCACATAGTGTTAGCATCATCTTTCAAGTCCCAAGTACCTTCAATCTGTAGCACTTAAGGTTTTCCTCAGTTCTATCATTCTGTCACTTTTTAAAGCTCTCTTTTTTCATCTATATTACCACTTGGACCTCTTGCCTCTACCACCAAGTTTCTCTGAAGTCAGGTCCCTTTCCTTTAGACTCTCCATGAACTTCCCTTGAGACTCTCCTCATACAATTGGCCATCGAGTTCCACATAGTGTTAGCATCATCTTTCAAGTCCCAAGTATCTTCTTTATCCATTCTATTATTAAAAGTGTCTAGTTTATTCCCTTTTAGGTCCCACCATCTAACTCTGCGACGCCCACTATCTTTCTAAGTTTGGTATTGTCCTTTAAAGCGTAAATCTAGTTCCGAAAGTTTATGTTGAGATGTCAAGCTCTCTCCAAGAATCACCTTATAGTCGCTGCATTTTAGACAATCCCATTTTCTTACTAAAAAGTAATGTATTTGGCTCCTAATTGACCCACTCTTAAAGGTTATCAAATGCCCCTCTCTTTTCTTATACGTAGTATTGGCCACCACTAGGTTGGATGTCAACGCAAAATCTAAAATACTCTCTCCAGCCTTATTTCTATCACCAAAATCATACCCACCATGCACCCTTTTATACCCTAGTTTATCTACTCCTACATGGCCATTGAAATCACCACCTATAATTAGGTTCTCTTCTATGGGTATCTCTTGTAATACCTCATCCATTTGGTACCAAAAAACTCTCTTAGTCTGATCATCTAATCCTACTTGGGAGTCATATGCACTAATAACGTTCACTATTTCTCTTCAATAACTAGTTTAACTAACATAAACCTATCACCTTTTCTAATAACCGTAACTAATCATGAAAAGTATGTAACAAAAAACCAATTACATGAAAAAGCTATAACATATTGTAATACATTCATCTTATAAATGACATTCAATTATAGAATATGACATTCAATCATGCATATAACATATTCATCTCATAAATGACATATTCATCTTTGTAGCAATATCATTCATGTAGCAATTATATTCTAAAGAACGTAAAATAGTTATAGAATTTTGTAATACATATAACATGTTCATCTTGTAAATGTTTCAAAACATATTTAGAGTGCATGAGTTGTGTTCTGAAGAATGTCGAACATTGTTATAAAGGGATTATAAAGGGATTCATCATATAGGATGTGATCAAATGGTTCAATAAGTGTCATTGAAGTATCCATAGAGTGTCTGATAGTATGAATTTGATTTTTTTTTTTTTTTTTTTTTTTTTCCCAATTAAGATGTGTTGCAGAAGTGTTGTTGGACACACTTTTACTAGTATAAAAATAGTGTCGGACACAACACACTTCCTCCCCAGAAGTGTATGTGCAGGCTACATTTACATTAGAAAAAATCATAGATCAGTCATCTAATAGGTCCCAAGGTATATGACATGCTCCAAAGAACCAAATGACCAAACTACTATCATCAAATTATGTTTTTTACCAATATGTTTTTTTTTTTTTAAAACTTCTACAAGTTCAAATAGTCTTCTTTTTTTTTCTTTTCTTTTTTTTTGTTTTTTGGGTACTGGAATTATTAACTTCCTGTGCTTTTTTTTTTTTTTAATGGTGTCAGACTCAGAGAATTTTACAGCTGCAGACAGAAGAACAAAGAAGGCAGCTCCAGATGATGTTTGATCTACAACAAAATTACAAAAATGGGAGCCTAATTGAGAAGCCGAATCCAAATTCTACATGCCCAGATGACCTGTCAAGTGGCGTTGATGACATGTCAATAGCTGATGATTCCGGAAAGAATAATTCTAAATGCATATAATTTGATCACAAAACTGAATACAATCTCGTTACATGGGATGAGATTTAATAAATGTGTGGTTCCATTCTATGTGAGAGATTTGTGTCGGATTCTATGATCAGATTTTGTACACGTAGAAGAACTATTCCGGAAATACTCATTTCCCGTCCAAAATAAGTTAGTTGGCACGAGCAAACTTAAATATTTTCATAAGTATTCATGGGGTTCTGAGGAAACTCACTTCCTACAACAGAACCGTAAACCACAGATGATGCTACTTGGTAAATAATTGAAATGGAATGTATTTACTTAAATTTTATTTACTTGGTTTGCTTTTTGAAATTTATTTTTGAGTTTTTTATTTGTATGTTTTTTTGTCTTTTGTGAACTTTTTTTCATATTATTATTAATTTCTTAAATGCACCTAATTTAGATACATCTAAAAAGTAAAATATTTATAAATTTTTTGAAAAAAACATATATTAAAGATTAAAAAAAAGAAATATATATATATATATATATTTTTAATGTTTAGTATTTTTTTTTTTTAATTTCTTCACAAACTTTGCAAAAAGGAAATAGCATTAGTGGGAAGAGAATTGTAAGAAATCTCAAAACAAGTAAGTATTTGGTAGTTCAAATTTGATTTTAAAAAGTTGGCAAGATTAATTTGAAACATGTTTAAGATTAATTTATTTGATTTTCGAGCAAAAACGGGTTTCAATTGAATGGAACTCAAGTACTTCGATTTTATAGTCTTAAAACATATATAAGCTTTGAGAATTAGGAGTCAATAAATCTCGGATCGGGTTCGGTTCAGACTGGACTTGCACTATATACTAAGATAATATGTGTCATTTCAAAACCTATCCAACCCAACATTGGTCCTGATCTAAACTTCAATGGATATTATTTAATCATTTTATTTATTATTTGAATATGGAACACTAACAAAATTCAATGGTAAAATAAATATAATTTTTAACAAAAATTCATATTTAAGCCTTACAAAAAAGTACATATATATTTGTCTTTTATATTTTTTTACTTTTAAAATAATGTAAAACTATAATTAATGTGGGCCGAGTTGAGCCGAATTAAAACTTTTTATCTCAAGCTCAACCCTAAAATTAAATGGTTATAAAATTTCAGTCTAATCAAACCTTATAAGCAAAATAATTTTTTCAAACTTTAAAAATATCAAGCTAGGTTGGTTGGGCCAGCGTGCTGAGGGCCACCCCTAAGTTTGAGTCTCAATTCAAAAAATTTAAATATGTATAAATTTGATTTGTTTACAAGTCAATCTCAAAACTTAAATAGTTTGTTCTTTAGCACTCCAAATAAGGGTGTGCATGGCGCAGTTCAAACAGTTTGAGAATAAAATTATAAATTAAATGGCGGATTGATGGTTTGATGGATTGGCAAATCGTGGTTTAGGAAGTTTGAGGTGGATTAAAAAATATTCTAACCAATTATTATGTATTTTGCATAATATATATATAATATTAATTTACATAAAAAAAATTTATATATATGACACAAATTAATTTGTAACAAATTTCACATCTTAAATTTTTTTTACATTTATTTTTACTTTGATATTTCATTTGAGGTTAAAAAATATATATGTATTGACTATAGCGGAACTGAGTGGTTTCGAAGGTGAATTATAAAATTTAAAATTAATCCGCGGTTAGCGGATTGAACGGGGCAGATTGATACGATTTTAGCGAATTGGTCGGTATTTTAAGTTCACGTGGTAATATAATAAGCCCAAGCGGTTGTTTCGGTACATACTAAAATAGCATATTTATTGTTATTTTATCCTCTTTTTTTTTTATTCATATCACCTTTTTATTTTTCTGAACATCCTTTTGTAAAAAGTTTTAAAAAAATATTAAAATAATCTATTCCTAATACAATTTTTTTTTTTTTTGTTACAGTAAAATCCTTCTACTCTCTCACAGGTTCAAGGTAGCGCCCCTTGCAGAGATCACTAAGATATCTTGTTATCTATTCTGAATAAGAGATTATAATTTAAGAACCTGTCCCGACTCCTAAAACAAATTCTACTTAAGTCAGAACTTATATATGAAAGAATATCGAACCCATACCAAATACTGTGGTTAGGACAATTGAGACTTAACCTCTTAACTAATTGTACTGCACTCAAGAAATTGACTCAGGAAATTTTGAACTTGAGGCTTGGGATCTTAACTCCCAGGCCTTTACCATGTGTGCTAGTGCCTTGGGTTCCTAATACCAACTTAGTGCAAGTGTTTTTGGCAATTTTATATTTTGTAGTAGAAAACAACTTTTAATAAAAATTAACTTTAGTTTTGACCAAAGGCGATTTGTAACAATTGAAAAATTAATTGCAAATCAATAGAATTCTTACAACTATTTTTTTTTAATTAAAAAATATTCAATGAGAATATGATAGCATTCGCAAGTCTTGATCTCAGAATAATTTATTGTCGATTAGATTTAACCCAATCTATATGAAGGAACCCACCACCGAGACACCTAATAAAGCTCATTCACGAGCCACAGAAAGAGTCAAGTATCAATCGAAATACAACATAGAATCTTCATAGAGAGAGTATGCTCCCAAGATTCGATCCTTACCCTTGTAGAACGCAATGTGTTGTGCCACGGTGGTATTCCTACAACTAGTTGCATGGGACACAATTTCACTAATTTTTAATTAGATTTTCTATTCGTGTTTATTTAATATTTCCTCTAATATAAATCATAGAAGACATGTATTTTTAAAAGTACTTTTTGTGAAATATTCTCTAAAGATAAAAATAAATAATAAATAAAAATGAGAAAAAAATTAAGAAAATTACAAAAATAGAATTTGACTTTGTAACAAACTAAATCTTGAGATTTTAATTTTATCAATTCAAACTTTAATTTTAATTTTTTTATACTTATTTTCAATTTAAACATTTGCCTATTTCGTTAAATAAAATTAACAAAAAGTGATATTTTAGTCATTAAACTCAATGAAAAAGAGTATTTTAGATATTTTTTGTACCCCTGCAAGAGTTTAATAGCTAAAATATAATTTTTCTATCGATTTTTCTTAACACAAACAGGCAAATATTTTCGATTGAAAATTAAAAAAAAACATTTATATAATAAAATTAAAATTTCAAAGTTTATTTTGTTATAAGATAATTTTCCCAAATAGTTTAAATACAAGGAAAATTTACCCATAAATCCTCTATGAAGGAAAGTTGAACCATTTAGTCCTAAGAGTTTTCTTATGGATCAATTGGTCCCTTTTTTTTGGTACGTTTTATTAATTGATTTTTGGTTCCATTTTAGTTTACATTAATACCCTTGGTATGATTCATTTTCCTATTTGGGTCATTCGGTTTTTGGTTGGGGATGGTCTGTTAATGTGTGCAAAGGTTTTGATTGTGTAACATTGGCTGTGATTGTGGGTTAACATCTGCAAGGGTTTTTATGTTTAACATTTTCTTATTTGGGTGATTCGGTTTTTGGCTAGAAATGGTATGTTAACGTGTGCAAGGGTTTTGATTGTGTAACATTGGCTGGGAGTGTGGGTTAACGTCTGCAACAGTTTTTAGTTTTTAACATTGGCTGCAGTTTGAGGGAGTAAGTGGTGGATAGTTGATTGTGTTGTGTTTTATTTTTTCGGTGACGCCATCTTCGTGGCATTTTGTTATTAGGTTTGATTTTGTTGCCTTGGCATTTTTATGGTGACACAATTAGCGCATTGCATATTGTTGACAACCAATCATACAATGTTAGCGTCTTCAATTTGTTGATAACTCAAACAAATGCCCACCCAATTGCTTCTCCAGTCGTGGTGAAAAACAGTTTACTACATATATACAGAGACAGCAACTTCGCGACATCCTCACCGTTACATTGGTTATTGCCTTGTAGCGCTTCATCCAACAACTCCGTTATCTTCTTGCAGGATATTCGTCCGACAATGTTGCACCGTCGTTGTATGAAATCAGATGGGGGTCTCAACCCATGAGCCAGATCCAGTTAGTCTGTGCCTCTTCGGATGCCAAAAATGAAATGGATGTCGTTGCTCCTAAGTGGCACGCCTTTCCAACCGATGTAGAACTTCTCATCCGTACAATTATATGTCTGTATTATGCGAAATACTGTGTCATCACTGCTAGAAATGAGGGTTTTAGCGGCTTTTAAAAAACGCCACTAAAGGTCACAAAAACGCCATCAAAACTTTTTGTGACGTTTAGTACCAAACGCCGAAGATGCGGCCGTCGCTATAACTTTGTGACGCTTTAGGAACATCACTATATTACTATATGCGGCGTTTGCTAAAACTTATATTTAGCGACGTCTTGAAAACGCCGTCTTATCTCTTTACGCCAAAGAAAAATCCAACCGTTTGGTGACGTTTTTAGAAACGCCATGATAGCCCTTTTTTTTAATTTTTAAATTGTGTTGATTTTATGTTATTGAACTAAAAAAATAGCACTAATATGAAATAATAACTCTCATTCACGTAGTAAAATCTTATCAAATGATAGTCCACAATCATTGTGCAAAAAAAAAAATATTCACACACAAATCATTTGAGCAACATTAAGGAGTCACCAAAATAGGATACCCCTCTATTTGAGCCAAAATACGAATCTGGGCATTTAAGCCAACTTGATATTCATATTCTCATTCACAATAACCACATTCACATACAAATCTTTTTCCTACCATATCAACCTAGTTCACCAAAATAGGATGCCCCTTTATGCAGTGTCATGCGTCTCTGCAATTACATTGGGAATATGAGTTTTGTTGACTTGTAATCTAGCCTCTTCATCTTTGTCTCCGATGCACTTTTTCTATTTATCTCTGTTGTTCCCTGAACTTAAAAACATGTATACAATTGGGGGGAGAGATAGAGAGAGAGAAGTTGATATCAATAATCATAAACAATAGAAAACAATTATCCATAAACAGTTAATTCTCAACAAAAGACTAATTCTCAACAGGTAATTATAACAGTGAAATGGAAATGTAAGCTACAAATACTAATTCTCAACAAAAGAAAATTTCATAAAGAAAACAATCATCAATCCATATTGATATCAGTAATCATAAAGTTTAATATAAAACATATATCCATATATCCATCACCCAATAGGACATTAAGCTAACAAGTTTGCAACAACATATCTCATTCCAATTTTGCACCCACTTAATTCCAAGTACGTCAAATTCAAAACTCAAATCTGCATATATATATATATATATATCAGCCATTTCTAATAATGTTTCCTCTCCTGATACTATTGCTATGCACAGTACTATTGTCTATCCACCAAACAATTCACCATCTCCCTCACAAGGCAGTAACAAAAGTGCTGCAATGTCCAAGTCTAACGATTTTTTTAATTGAGAGACAGATTTAAGAGATATTAAATGATAGCCGAAGAGATATCTATGAAATTAACCCAAAATATTTTGTTCTAATACAGTGATTTGATGATAGAGACAGAGAGTAAGGTGCATTTCCAAACAGGCTAGTCAAAAGGAAGAAGAAGACAAATAAAAAGAGTCTTTTATGTGTATTTAAAAAGCAATCAAATTCAGATTTTAGATTAACATAATACAAATGAAGTAGTAGAAACCAATTAGGGGATACTAGAGCCAAAATTCTAGTAGTTGTGACAGATTTACGCAGATAAGGTTTTCCTATGCAAGGGTTAGGCTCATATAGTATAGTAGTAAGAAAGGCTTGGCATTATAAAGGTGAACATAAACTTTTAACATGCACATATACTTTTTAAATTAGCATTGAATATAACATCTCACAATCTTTTAAAAATTAAACACCCGTTTTAACAAGGTTTTAGCTTCCAACAAGTAAATTTTATTTCTTCTCTCCCGGATTTTGGGAAAGGAAGAAAGAGAATAAAAGAAAAGGACAGTACCCATGAAACCAAAACATAGGTATACACACAGAACTCATTGTGGTAGCATATACAAATAAACTTACTATGAAGCATACATTTTGGCAGCTAGGCGAACCCATTTCAATCACTTATTACAATGATTTGGAGGATTAGAGAAACCAAGATTTTGTACCTGAAGTTTGCCAAGGTGCCATGCTCCAGAAATGCACACCACCTCAAGCGTTTTGTCATGCATGGACTGAAGATTGAAATCATCGTCATGCTCATAATCATTTTGCCAAAGATCAACTCCACCCATATAGCTGCCTATGTTGAGCACAATTAAACCCTCAGCATCCTGGAGGAAAAGTTAAAAGGAAAAAATTTAAAAATAGTCCAATTGAAAAGGAAACCAGAACAGTAAAGAAAGAATACCTCTATTGCAAGGGTGCTAATTGTTGTATCCTTCACATCCCTCAGCAAGTGCTTAACCCAGTTGAATAAAGAAGACAGTAGAAATTAAAGATGAAGCTGATACAAAAACAAGATAATATGCACATATATCATATATGTGAATTTTTTAGAGGCACTAAGTAAGTTGGCAACTTGGCATCTTCTTTAAAATCAACAAAGAACGAGAGAAGACGCTGAGAAAAAAGAAAAAGAAGATGCAGGAGAGAGAGAGAGAGAGATATAGCATCTATTTCAGGTTTCTATCCCAAGTGGCATACCAATTTCCTCAATTTCATGAGCGGCAATTTCTGAAGGCACATGCACAAATACCTTCTGGCTTTTCTGAGTAGCATTCTGCAAACATATCCAATTGTCTTCATAAATGTACATTTATATAGAAATCATGACTTATAATGAACTATTAGCTTTGAAACTTCAAAACAATTCATAAAATACACAGCCCAGTGCAATCAATACTACATATTATGAAGAAGAACACTAACAATTGATTAGAGAACATAGTTGCTAGAAAATGGATATAAGAGCATGCCTGGAGATTCAGTATGACTTGGCAAAAATTGCAACTTCCTCTGCTGGATTGCCCGTCATCAAGCATGTCTTACTTCTGCCTTTGGGCTGTTCAAAAGGGAAACACCAGATTGTTGCCCCTGTTTCTTCTTTCACCCTCAACTCATCTTTGTCACTGTGCCACCAAATGTGTAGTGATCTTAGAAGTACACAATTGCATTATGATAAACATAAACATTAACCCTAAAAACCAAACCAAACTAAGCTTTGTGCTCATGTGGGGTCCACTACATTGAATTCATTTTTGTCATTCTGCTCTATCACCATATTGGTATTTCATGTTCATAAGGATTTGACAGATTTTTACATGTTATCTGTGTAAAAGATTAAACACTAAGCACACCAACCCTATAAACCCCATATATACATGGTCAAAAAAGTAAGAGGCAAATAAACAAACAATTACCTTGCAGACCACGGACCCTTTGCCCATTTCCCCTGACTAAGTGCATCTTTCAACTCATTATGAGTTCACATCCACAAAGTTACTGCAGAGGAATTATAAATGTGTTAAGGGTATTATCCGAACAATATACCAAAATTCAACAGATACAAAGCAAGGAAAACAAACTGTCAAACACAGCAGAAAGGCAAGGATTTGGTGAACAAATTCAAAGGACTGAAAGATGGGAAGCAAGAATACAAACTGTCCAATACAGAGAAGAGAGGCAGGCAGTCAATGTACCACGCTTAAGGAAACACAATTTTGCCTTCAAAACTCGTATGTGCTGACTACATAGATCCATTATGTAATCAAGCAAGTATATGATCCAATCTAACAAGATCTAAAGCTAGCAATAACTTCAAGTTGACAAGTAAGCATAAAGATTCTAACATAACACTTGGTTCCTAAGGTTTTGTTTGGATCATGGATTTGGGTATTTTGTTTGGTTCCTAAGGTTTTGAACCATAGATACTGTGTATTTTCAAATAAATCAGTGTGCTTGCATGTTTTATAATGGCAGTGACATGATCCTCTACATGCAGAAAGCTAATGATCATTTTGCTATTTATATATTGAACCGCCATAAAGAACAAATCTCATGCCTTTATATTGCGGTACAGCACATAAATAATAAATTTACAATGTAAAACATCATAGGGATGAAGAATGCACCTATCTCAAAATGAAATTGCCTTCCCCAAAAGCGAAGAATGGATCTCATCTAACTTATAACATCCTACTCCATATGCAGTACCACCCTCAATGCAGGTGCCATTATAACATCCTACTCCACCTATACCACCATGCCCACCACCACTGCTTAAAACTTTTCCTCTACCCATACCACCTGTGCAACCTGTACAAACACAACAACGAAATTACATCATCTGAAATATAATTCAAGCCACAATAATGCATTCTTAGGACAATTTGTTTTCCTCTTTAGTTGAAAATAGGATTTTTCCCCCTTCAATGAAGTAAATGTAAAAAATAGAGAATACACCACACCAATTACACAGCTCTGCAGAGAGAAGTGAACGTAGAAGATGCACCTGAGAAAAAACAGAAACATAACGGTACGGTGTGCATGTGCTGTGAGCTGGAGAAAAGTAGATATTGCAACTCTCTTGCAGAAACATTGTCTCCAAAATTATTTAGGAAAATTTGCTCCCATAGGTGTGGTTAATATTAGAAACTCATGGATTTTTGTACCAGAAATGAAAATTTTAAAAAAAAAATTGTTATGAAAGAGTGCTTATCTTATAATTCAAGTGAATAAGAAAATGAATAAAGAAATTGAATAAAAACTTTCGTAAATAAACACGTTTAGTAATGTCACTACGGCAAAAACAATATCAAAAACTTTTCTCTTCCATATCTTTCTAGTATTTTCTTCGGTTTTTACCTAAGACATCAACCGTGTGGGTCCCCATGCACCATCACAGTGCAAAAACCCAATTCTATCTCTCTTGCCCTAAACAAAGTCATTGAATCTAGTAAATATAGACCATGAACAAATGCATTGTTTCTAAAAAAGTTTGTTATCAACTAATTACTTTCCAAAAACTTATGAAAGATTCATTTATTAAAGAAGTGTTGAAAATTACCTAAATTTTATTTCTAACCTTAGCCCAATCTTATCTATTGAGGCATTCAAATGAACAACCATAATATGGAGCACAATAAATCCCCTGTACCACACAACATCAAGTAACCAAGAAGCAACATCACCACAAACAGTGATAGCAAAAGAAGAAAAGGGTCGAGGTACAAAACACTCACATTGAGAAAGTTAAAGATCATTTGGGTTTGGCTACTGCCAATCAGCTCCCAGAGGTGGTGCCAGTGAGCCATGATTAATGGCACAAGTCTTTAACATTTGAATTAAACATGCATTTAAAAAAACAGAATAAAGCATAAAAGAAATCCATGGGGCTGAACCCAAGGAGGTGGGATTCAAGGCCTTGTAGAGTTAATTTTCAGTTAGCTAATTTTATTTCTAGATCATCCAAGATCATCTCAAGCTGCTTCCACTAGCTGCCCTAGTATCAAATTGTGTGCAAATTCCTGGCATTTTTGTGTTCTCGATACATCAATTATTAAATGCCCTCAAAATTTACACTTGCCTACATCATTGTTTTGTTCTATATAACATTTTCAAAATAAAATTGCATTGGATAATGCAAAACTTAATTTTGTCCTTCACCACAGGGGCGTCCAATTATTTCCCCATACAAATAGGGCTATATAATTCAGCATGAAATTGTAAACATCCTCTGATGATAAAATGTTTCAATACTACCAATAATTAAGTAGAATAAGAAATTGGGAAAAAGTCACCTATATAAGTTTCAATACTACCAATAAAAATAAAAATATATCAAAAAATGAAATAAAATATGGGAAAGTTAAATCTAAACTAAAACTATAAGTTCGATTACAAGGAAATCTAAGAGAGAAACTTAGTCTCAAAAGAGATTGCACGAAAGATTTGTCAAACCACCTAATTAAGCACCTAAACCACATGAGCTAGTCAACAGAACAAAAACAGCACACAAATCATCATAAATATGGTTACCCATGAATGAATCCAGGAACTGAACAGGAAAATCTAAAAAGCAGCAGCTTATCTTAATTGCAGATTCACTCATTAAGAGCTCCTCTGCCAATAATTCAAATTCTGACAAGGCATAATAAACTTGACATCACCTAGAGATTAGATGTAAAATGGATTTAGTACAGAGATTAATGTCATTCATCATGTAGAAATGAAATCAAGGAATGCTAAAACACCTTATTGTACAACCATTCAGTCCATCAGGCAAACTTGCATAAACAGGATACAATTATCAAACCAAGTACACGCTCTCTATATTTGATCTGTAATACATAACCTTGAATTAAGCAATCTAAATACCATTCTAAAACACATAAATGATACTACCACAAAAGAAACGTACAGCAAATAGAGTGAGGATGCAAACACCCGCCGTTACGCCCATGCATATCACTGAACCAAGCCTGAACAAGGTCATATTCATTTCATCAAACATTAAGTTATAAGCATTCAACAACAACAAAAAAAAAAGGAACTAAGTACAGCTTTAAAAGTATCGAGATTAATTTTCCTGCCTTGGAAGGCTATGATTGTCAACACCTGAAGAAGATTAAAACACACATTTGATTTTTGATTTCAGCCATAAAGAAACTGCATATAAGATAATGCAGTAATAGCAGATGGACAACCAATATTTACCTGGAACATTACAACCAAAAAATCCACATACGATGAAAACTTCAATACAAGTGAAGAAATGTCTGATGCTCAACAAAAGAGCTTTTCCCAGTCTGCCAATTCACAAACAAAATTCTAAAAACAGAGATGACTTGATGAAAGGAGAAAACAAATTGTAGGGTACAAGTGTTGGATCAAAGAATTAGAAGATAAAAAAAAGGACAAAATTTCCCCTGCATGCAGTATTGCCAAAAGTATAAATACAGCAATAGCCAAAGAGGCCAAAAAAGAAAAAAAAAATAACAAAAATTAGTATAATTCAAAAATAACAGAAGAAATGACAAAAGTTGATGAAAACAGATAAAACTCTACCACCACATTCAGATTACAAATAACAAAAAAATAATTCAAAAACATTAACATTAACATACACTACTAATCAAAAGCATAAAAAGAAAAAAAAAATCCTAAAAAATTACAGATCTGAACAGAAACTTACAGAGAGAGATCTAAATGAAAACTTGCAGATCTGAACGAAAGCAATCAATCGATCAAATCCAGAGAGAGAGAGTGTTCAATATCGATCAATAGACTAAAAATCAATCGATCGATCTGTGTTCTCTTTAACATAAATTAGTGTATATATATATATCACACAGATCAAAGATCATAGATACAGATCAGTGTTCATATATAAACAAAATCAAAAAAATCAGAGAATGAGACTCACAAAATTAATCTTCAAATCGGACTGATTGAGAGCTTTGAGCCAA